ACACGGAGAAAGGAAGGAAAGCAGGAAAGCTCTGCTAGTTTTATAAGACCAGGCATGGATTCAGGTTCTCTTCCTCTTCCTCTTCTGGCATCAGCAAGGCTGAACTGGTTACTTCTTCATGGCCTACAATCTTAGTCTCCCTCTTGCTTTCCATCCCCAAGCTCCAGGTGGGGCGGGAGGGGGGGTGGATACTGATGAAAGTCTGGGAGATGCATCCCACTGATGGCTTGGCCAGAATCTAGATCCCGCTCCCCTTTCATAGCAGGATGGAGTAGATACACACACAGGGAGGTCCTCCTGGTTGTGGAGGTGGTAGCTTCCATCTCTAAAGCAGAAGGTGGCTGATTCTCCCCTGACAGCCTCTCTACAGCCTCCCCACAATGTGCCACACTCTGAATCCCATCATCCCCAACTGTTGGTATGGCCCAAGGACATTTGGAGGACACCAGGTCTGGAGAAGTTTGATCACCACCATCATCAGTATGACTATTACCATTTTGCAAAGAAAGACCAAAAGAGACATTGATGGCATTTCCAGACCTGCAAGATGCAACCTTCTTCTCTTCCATCCAGAGCTTTCCTCAGATCGTGCCTCTTCTCTGGCTTTTCGCCTTGCCCAGGAGGTTGCCAAACCAGCCGGCCCAGGCTTGTGGGGGCGGACAGCTTAATCAGCACTCAGTCCTTGGTCGTTTTGTTTGTTTGTTTGTTTCGTTTTGCTTCCATTGTTTGGAAGCGAGGAATTCAGGAGAAACACGCAGTGGGGATTAGAAGGGCTGGGCTGGAACGCTCCTCTGGGAGGCGCTTGGCCTGGTTGCACTCTGCTGGTGGTTTTTCCTACACCCGCTTAAGCCCCGAGCTTTTGGCCAAGGCGTCGTCTCAGCAGGTACACGAGGCCAAGTGGATGGTTGACACCCAAACTGGAATTGCAGACCAGGACCGGGGCGTGATGAAAAGAGAAGATGGAGAACATCATGAGAACATCATACCTTAGTATGAGTGACAACACAGGCAAGTGTGGTGTCCCATTAAGCCCTGTATGGCTCAGGTCCAGGCTAGCTGAAAGACTGTGTGCTCCTAGATGAAACAGTCCACCCCTAAGACCTTCCGTGGAGGTCTTCCTTGGTCCCTCCACCTTCACCTTGGTGGGAACATGGGGCAAGACCTTCCCAGTGGCTGACAAATATGTACTTTACCTTTCCGCCACAGTCCTTCCCCCATTTTTTAAGTTATAAGGAGCAAAAGCCACATTCCAGAAATGTGGGATGTTTTCTTGTTTGCCAGTCATGTACTTTGCCTTAGGGATGGGTGAGAAATCATTGCAGTTCCAGCTTTGACAGCTGGCTTGACAATTTTGTGTTTCTCAATTTTCAGCACAAGCTACAACACAGTTAGACCTGGAAATCTGTACTTTTCCAGTGTTTGCAATGCAGTTTTGGTCTGGCACATAAAAATTACATTATGGAAGTGTACGTTTTAAACAGTGTATATAAAAATGCAGATATTTGGAGAAATGCCCAGGGGAGAAAGCTTTATTCAGTGGAAAAGGCACTTGCAAACCTGTGTACATCTGGAAGTGTGTGCACAAAAAGACCTTTGCAAAGATGCGTATAAAAAGTGTCCTTTATTTTCAAAAATGCGCGCAACAGTAGGAAAGGATTTTGGTGCAGAATAAAAAAAAATACATTGTACAATGAGAAAATAGGTAAGAATGAGGATGGATGGAGTTCTATTCCCCCACGGCAGATTCAGTGCAAGGCAGCAGAGCATTGCTTGTGCCTTTCTGCCCTACATTTTATCCAGAGAAAATTTTGCCATGAAAATGTCATGCCAGGGAAGGGGAAGGAAAGCAGGCAGGGAACTGGAATTACTTCTTTTATTTGCTTATTTAAAACTTTTGTAGACCGTCCCAATACCAAAGTCTCAGGATGGTTGAGCAATAAAATGTAAGAAAAGAAAAAATTAATTAAAACACAGCATCCTCAAATTTAGCAATAAGAAAAACCCCACTTAAAACAGTCAGGTCTTAAAACACAGGGGAAATTAAAAGGTTTTGGCCTTGCGCCAAAAGGAAGGAAGTGACAGCACCAGGTGGACCTCTCTGAGGAGCGAATTCCACAATTGGGGTGCCACCACAGAGAAGGCCCTTCCCTGTGGCCATGGCCTCCCTCCTCTCCCCACTCCAGTACCCCGCATGTTGCAGCCTTGTGTGGTGGCAAGTCATTTGGGTCTTTCCACACTGCTGCAAGGCAGAAAACTGAGCGCTTGGCCTTGCAGTCCAACTGCCAAGGTGAGATGAGCTCCAGGTTTAGATGCTGAAAACTTTTGCATTCTCCCAAATGAACTCAGAAAGTTGCAGGATCATGCCCAAAGCAGTAGAGAAAAGACAACCCACGCAAAATGCATTTGACAGATTTCTCTGTCTAGCTTCGTCATGCAACGGATTATTAACCCGAGCAGCAACAAACGAAAATGGTCTCCATTCCACTTTCTTCCTGAGAAGAAAACCTCCACCATATCCTGAAGACTTTCAAATCCCAAGTACGAGATGAAACCAATATGAAAAACAATCTGTAGCATGTTAGAGCATTTTAGCATCGGTTCATTTCTTCTTAACCATCAAAATTTGGGGAAATAGTACAGCCAAATAAATTAAGTTAGATTCCAAGCCTGTATACACACATCTCTTTCGCTCACCCATACAATCCCAATAAATTACAGTCAGATGTTCACATTACATTGCATCCAAGTCTAACAAAGTGAAACAAGAGAAAAGATGATGGAGGGAATACAGTACATATTTAATGCATAGATACGATACCATGATTGTAACAAGTTTCTTACTGAAACAACGATACATGGGCCAATCGGGAGAGAGATGCTCATTACTGGATGACCGGCATATTGTAAAGCTTCCATGTTCGAGGGCAGTGTACCTCTGAAAACCAGATCTAGAGGACAAACAACAGCAGGGGGATTTTGTGGTGTGCATGCCCAGCTTCTGGCCTTTTCGGTGGGCTGTTGTTGGAAACAGGACCTTGGACATTGGTGGACCTTTGGTAGGATTCTGCAGAGTTCTTGCTATGTTTCTGGAACCTCAACGGAAGATGGGTTTCAGTTAAATGACTGAACCACAACAAAATGTTTCAGTGTACAATGTCCAGATACTCCATATTATTTATCCTGCTCCTTGGTTTTTTGTCCCCCTGCAGACATTCAGTTAATCTTTAGGATTACGAGCAAACATTTGCTCACTCGGTAGATTTGGGGGTCTCTCTACCTCCACCCCAACAACCTGAGGAATATTTCTCCTAAAAAGTATGTGTGCATATATATTTTCTGCTAAATTTGGGATTCCCCCAGTCACCTGATGCCTCCTTCTTGTTCACGGATGCTGCTTTTTCAGTTCCAGCAAAATCTGGATGGAGATAATGAGCATCTTAATATAATTGGATATTTATTAATACAGATATTTCAAGACAGGATATATCCAATTATAGTGAAAGTGCATGTGAATCTCGTGGCCAGAGGCTTCATCAGGGGAAAGAAGTCAACCAGTAATGAGCATGTCTGAATGGGCCCTCAAAACAGAGTGATTTTGTGACTCAATTATCAAATTTCTTGTGAAAGATCCAGCCCTGCTCTTTTCTGCCAAACAAAAAACCTTTTGTCGGTCTGTATCCTTGGAGAACTGGGACAAATTTGGAGACAAGAACTAAGTAGCCCTCGTCTCAGATATTGCTTTCAAAACAATGCCCACCACACAGATTTTGATTTTAAAATAACTGCACCCAACTGTGGGATTTAAGGTTTTGGGTGGGTGGTGGGGGGTATGTAAAATCATTTAATTTGGAACTTGATATTTAGCAGGACTGGCTTCGAAATCACTGATCAAAGCTTTAGAAGGGCCATAACACTGACTTTCAAAAAAAGTGTTGTCCAGCCAGCCTAGAAGCTTCTATTGCACGCTTGCCTGAAAGGGGCTCTGAGGATTAAAGACAGGTGGTCCCAGGAAAATCAATGGGCTGGACATGCATTCAGTTTTCACCACCATGCTAGGTCCTGGTTATTTTGTTTTGCCTCTCCTGCCTGGACAACTCTGAAAATAAACCCAGAGCACTTTGGTTTTTAAAAGAGGAACAACACAAACACCATTAAAACCCGCTTTTTACTACCGGTTTTATGGGTGAGTTCAAACTAAAACGTGTTCCTTATCAAACAGAAGAGATATCTTGAGCAGCTTAGATCATGTGTTTCTGCATCCTTCTGGGATCCCAAAGATAGCATGATCACAGACAGTACAGAACATTTGCTCATAAATGTCTGCTTACAGATATTTTTAATGTGTTTAACGTTTAACTCGGGGCAACGGTGAAATGCTGGTGATCAGATCTGTTTGTCCCGGGGTGCCCAGTCGAATCTGGTTTCCTCGGGAGAGTTCTACAGAAAGCTTAAGAGTTCCTTTTTTATAGGGAACTGGACACCTGCCAGGAATGGCATGCTCTTCTCATCTCGAAAAGCAGACTTCTCAACAGAGCACCTGCTTCTTGAAAGGAGGCCACAGGTCAGACAAACATGGAAACAAAACCGATCCAGCCAGAGAAGGAATGATGCGATAAAAAGGGCCCGGGACCCAAGCGGCTCACAGCACCTGTGCGGACTGGTGGATCTTTGATCTCCATGACTCAGCTCATGTCGTGACACCCAAAGTTCATGCCATGAGGCACTTGCTCAGCTCTCAGTGCCTTCCGGTTGGCAACAGGAGCGCCCGGGGAGGTTGGAAAGAGGAAAGGGGGGAAGAACAGACTCCACTTTCCCTTGGGTGTCACCACCCACCCATCCTGTACTTTTGGGCTGACATTCCCAAGGTCAGAGGTGAGCCATGTCCCCTACCGGCTGCGATGCCCCCAGGTACAACTGTCCTCAAGAAACCCACGTGGTGTGGTTGTGAAGACCGGGTCCAGCGGTTCTCATGCTGCTTCTCTTGACTCTTCAAGACTTGGTTAGCGGTTGGGCCCCATATCAACACCACCCTCTTCTCGTGGTTTAAATCCATGAAGCACCACGGACGTGTACAGCTCTGGGACCTGGTACTTCTTATATTTTGAGTACGGAGGGAGCTCACCCGTTTGTACAGAGGAGCCACGGTCACCGTTGGCCCAAGTCCTGTGAGTGGCCTGGTCTGTGGCCAGTCCTTCTTCCACGCTTCGATATTTCTCCAAGGTCAAGCTCACACTGGGGACGGGAGGAGGGTGCGACATCTTGTGCTTCTTCTTGGCCGTGACCCGCCGGTACAAGAAGATAAGGGTCAAGATGGTGATGTCCACAAGGAGCTCAAACATCTCAACCACGGAGAGCACGGAGGACCCAAACCAGAGGCTCCATTGACTCCCCATGAGAGACATGATTAGAGTCACCTAGACAAAAGCCAGAGATAGATCTTAGGGTGAGTGGTCCGTGCCGCAGATAAGTCCAAACTGTAGGCACCCACCCATAACCACATCCTCAGAGAGAGGCCAGACAACCAGGCAACCGTGTGGGCAAGAAACAACCACCCCCAACCCACAAGTTCTCGTCCAGAAGCAGTTCTTTTGTCAGCCTGATCAAGGCTGCTCCGCATTATATAAGATCAAGCCATCCCATGATGGATTATATTACGACAGGAGAAAATAGACGATTGGCTGGAAAAGGCAGGTCCCCCCCCCCACCCACCCCCAGTTCCTATGAGAGTTGCAGCTAAGCCGAGAGGCAGCAGCGAGTCCTTGGTGTGTGGGCCGTCACTGATACTTGAGGAATTCCTGCTTTGCTTCCCTGGAGAGCAATTGTTGTAAGATACTTGTGTTTGGGGCAATTGTTTCATTATCTGCCATGTTATATTTTCTTTCTGTTTCACTTTGGGCTCTTTCCCATGTTCTTTGATTGCCTTGTGCTGAGCTTGATTTTATTTCTTGTGCAACGGTTCTGTTTAGTGTCATTTTTAATCAGGTTGGGTCTAGATCGGCAGGTGTTTTTACGGCTCAGCTGCAGCATCGTGTCCTGAATTCTGTGTCCTGTGATGGGAGGCTCCCACCTTTAAAGGTGGCTGAGTATCTGCTCGGATGTATGGAGCCCTGTTGCTTAGCTGGGGTTGTTTCGCTTGCAAGAGAGGAGAGCTTGCAAGAGCAGGGAGAGAGGTGCATCAGATGATGCCTGCTGTGGAGACGTGGAGAGGGAAGACCCTGCCAGAACCCAAAGGGGTCATCCTGGGAGGCCGATGGGTGGAGATTCAGGACAGGTCCAAGGAGGACAGCTTTCCCCGAAGCAGAGTAAACTGAAATTCCCCTCCCCTCCCCTCCCCTGATTTGGACAGCTTGGAAAAGGGAGTGGACCATTTCCTGGAGGAGAAGGCTAACCATGGGCTACTAGCCTTGATGGCCACCTCCAAGATCAGGGGCAGTATGGCTCAGTGCACCAGCTGCTGGGGAACAGGGGTGGGAAGGTGCCGTGCCCCCATGAACTGCTTGTGGGTTTCCTGTGGGCAGCTAGTCGGCTGTGGGGTGAACAGAATGGATCGCGGGCCCAATCCGGCAGGGCTCTTCTGACGTTCTTATGCTCCATTGGGCTTACTCTGAAGAAAGTGTCTTGGATTGCTGCTGTCTAGGTCTGAGCTACATTCCACACCTTACCTTTCGGTACCACCCAACCCCCAGAGCTCTCTGGGGCTGGTTTAAAAAGCATCTTCTTTCCCACTGATTTTGGTGGGACCAAAATGCAACTAACTTTGCCTGGATGGGGCCCATTGCATTGTGCTTCTCCCCACACCAACTGGACTAGCTTCTTTGGAGGAAGGGACATGGTTGGAACAACCCCAATAACTCAAAATATAGAACTAAAAGCAAGAAGAATCTCTAACTCACGGTGTACTCCGGTGATTCATCCCAGGAATTGTAGTTTAATTGCTCATAGAAGATAGTCACCTTGGCGATATCTTTCCTGAAAGACAGAAAAGGCAGTTTAGAGCAGGGGTAATTTTTCACCAAATACTTTTTTCTGAGAGTTCCTTTTCTTTTCTCAACACCTTTCCTTACAAAACGGAGGCCGCTAGCAGACAACTCTGCCTTTTTTTCATTGGTGGCACAATGCACATACATACACAATACATACATATAACAGCAGGGGTGACAATAGGCCAAGAGCATTATGGAGGTCACAAAATGGCAGCCAGGATGTCAACATGTGAACACTTTAGGAAAATGCCAACAACTCGCACTGCTAATGGGGAATCCAAATACCCCATTAGAACATCTGTTTTTGTCCTGGAGGAATTGGAAGAACTGCTTCCTTCCACTGTCTCTGTTTCTAAATGTTTCTGAGCATCTGTCTCCCTGCCTTTTGATACTCTTTTGAGGTTAACTCTTATTTTGTGTCAGTGTTGGCTTGAGGAATAAGAGCATTTTTATACCGTATGCATGTATACACACGCACACAAAAACCTTTCTTCGTCTAGTGTTTAAGTATGTATACTGTACATTGGCCAGAGACATTTCTTTGTTGCCCAGTATATGAATTCTGCAAAATCAATCCATCCTCTCCCTTTCCCATTTCTGCCTCCCAGCAAATGTGATGGAGATTTTTGGAAGACTGTGTTAGTTCAAGCTGGTACAAACACTGCCCAAACATATAGAGATTTTAGTGAAACAGATAAAATGCAACAAAAAGGGGTAGAAAGTGTGTGGTAGGGGTGGGAAGAAGGGCGACTTTCTAATAATATATATATTATTAGAATATATATATTCTTTATATATATATATATATATATATATATATATATATATATATATTAAGAAGAGCGACTAACCTGTCACTTGTCGTGTTGTAACTGTTTTGTGCCAGGAGAGCTTTATGAATCCAGTTCTGAAATAAAAGGCAAGGAATTGAAATCAGGAAGTGCAGAAATGCCTGTGAGGAAGCGAGCGATGGGGGACGAAGGAGCCAGAATGGCGCCATGGAGGTGGAACTGGTGCCAGGTGGAGGTGAGATGGGGCAAATAAGCTCTGCTTAAATGTGCTGCTGTGAGTTGTCAGCATTAAACTATCACGACGGAGTGGAAGCTCATTTTTCAAAGGAAGTGGACATTGTGCCCACAAAAACGCTCATTACCCAGGAAGTGCTTAATTGGTGTCAATCATGCCTTGGGAATTTCCCTGGTGTGTTGGTGATGCAGGAACCGAGTGAGATAACTGGGGATGGGAGTTGTAGGGAGAGCTAAGAGACAGTATCCTTTCTGTCTTGGAACTTGTTCTCGCTAGGCTTCATATTTACCTCCGATTTGGTCGACGGCCACTTTGCATATCCTGCTGAAAGTTTGTAAGACGTTTCCCTGCCAAAAAGATGGAACCACCATTAACTGCAAGCACAATGCTCAAAATCTAGCCTGTTTCTAGTGCCATTTGCACTGAATGATTCTAAGTCGCCCCCAGAAATATCTTTGGAACTGTAGTTTCGGGAAAGTCCAAAGAATTCCATTTTGCAAATAGAAGTGTGTGTGATTTTTCCCCTGCCGCCAGCTAAGTTTAGTTTCCTCCTGCCTTTATGCCAGAAATGACACACACATTTGTTTTTGAACCCACCACTAATTTCCATTTCTTCCCCCCTTCTCCTTCATCCATCGATTGACCTGTCTTCCTTTTTAAAATTAGGCTCCCCTCCCATTTATCTGGAAAAAATTGTCCCAATTGGAGGTGTTGGAATGTTTCTGCTTTCTTTATTAATATAAACATGGATCCTTTCCCTTGAGCTTGAAAAATTCAGTGTAGGAAGCTGGGGCTGTTGCAGAAGCTGGCCTGTCCGTGCTCAGGGCTCAGCACACCTGGTTTCTGCTGGTACCTGGCAGGGAAAGCTGTACACCTGCTCGGAGGTGGGGTGGGGGTGCCAAAGCGGCAGGGACACTCTGAAGTGTGTGTGTACCTGCAGGATCTGTTGCAGGGATGAATAACTTGGGGGGCTATTGGGAGAGAGTAACTGAGAGGACCAGTAAGTGAACAGGCAGGTCTCCCTGCCAACCGAGGCCCAACCACCTCCCGTTCAGGTGGGTGCAAATACCGTCCTTACTCACTTGCATCTCTTAGGACAGTCGTCGAAGCAGCTGAGCTGGTGGTGGGCGAGCTGGTTATAGAGCAGGTAGAAACAGTGTCCTAGAGGAGAAAAGAGGGCAGGATCACGAGGAGGCTGCACCCACACCTGGAGTCCAAGCTCCTCCTCGCTGCCTCACCCCAAGAGGGATGTCCCGGAAGGGCAAATCCGGCTCATAGGAGTTTGATGGATCTCCTGCCCACTCTCGAGCCACTGGTTCAAATGAACCAAGTCGTGCGGGGGGGGGGGGACTTTCAGCTCCAAGACGGAGGGCCCTACAGTGGGTTGCGTGTCTCTTCCCCACGTGTCTCTCTTACCCCAGGCTGGATGCTTGTTATAGTTGCAGTATTCTGCCCCCGAGGGAAGAGGGTAGTAGTAATACCCACAGCCGCAATTTTCAATCATCTTAGTTTGGAAGCAGGAGTGCAGACAAGCCTGTGGGGATGAGAAGAAAGGAAGAGGACGCCTGTGAAGCCCTGGAAGCACCAAAGCCAATGTCCTTTGGACCAGCTTTTGAGGGGTGCAGGGGGAACGGCTGTTTCTGCTGTACCTGCAGAGTGTAAGAGCTGTTGTAGATGAGTTTGACGTTCACGTTTGCCCCGTCGTCGGTGCATTCTCCATAAACACCACCTAACCGAGTCACCTCATCCTGGTTTGGGGAAGGAAAAAAAGAATGTATTGGAGGCTTGCATGGGTCAGAATCTGTGCCAGGCCAATAGGGTGACTTGGACACCCCGCTGAATAATCCCAGCTGGTCTGTGGGAGTTTTATGTGATCTTCAGGGCATCTTATCTGTTGTGCCCTGTATTCTGAGCTTTCAGGGAGCTCTCCGTGGTGCTGCAAGGGGGCGAGCTTCTCTTGGGCATGCAGCTTGGATAGTTCCCGTGAAGTGGAAAGGAAAAGCTGCCATGGATAAGGCACCCGATGGTGCAGGAGTCACCCACCCACTGCTGCAAACTGCGCTGCCATTTCTCCCCACCCAGACTGCGGACCGATGGGCTTAGGCTCCAAGTTTTGGCCTTAGCTCCTCCACTGCTTTGAAAAGCCAGGATTCAAGGCCACGAGGGTTTATTTTAAGCATTTTGGCCCACTCTTCAGCCCCAAAGCCCCCTCCATCCTCATTGCTTTGCTGAGGGTCCCACCCAAAGCCCCTGCACGCCTCACCTGCTTGATGCCGATGGTGCTTTTAATCCCCGGGCGGATGTCGAATCCTTCGTGCTCCAGGAACGGCGTCTGGTTGTGCTTGTGGATCATCACTTTCACGCCGGCCTCAGTGGACAGCAAGGGGATGTGGTCCTTCTGCTCCACTTTGAGGATCAGAGACAGGCCTGGGGGCGAAAAGAGGTGTCAGGATTAGCCTCATAGAAACCTGGGGCAACAACGTCCGAGGTGTGGGAAGGCTCCGATCTCCCTTTCCCAGCTTGGGGCTTGCCAGACCTTTCGGACTACAACCCCCAGCACCCCGACTTCTGGCCATGCTGGTGGGGCTGATGGGAGTTGCAATCCAACACATCTGGAAAGGGCCCTGGCAGGCTGTGGGAGGCTGCTCCTTTCATATGAAAGGAGCATCAGCTGATCTGGGAGACATTTTGCTGAAAAGGTTAAATCAATGTCTGTCTGGTGGGGATGCAGGAACGAGGATTGGTGTGCAAGTTAACATTTTCTGGAGAGCTTTTCCGCGTTGCATTGCACTGAAAGCAATCTGGGTGTTTAGAAGAAGTACAACTGATGTTTTAAAAGGCTTTCCCCTCGCCTCTTCTAAATTAGACAGAAAAACCAGTGTGGCAATGTGCTTAGAGGGCTGGAGATCCGGGTTCGAGTCCCCACTCCAACATGGATCTCTCCGGGTGACTTTGGGCCGGTCACACTCTCAGCCTCACCCACCTCACAGGGTTGTTGTGAGGATAAAATGGAGAGACCTGCGTAAGCCACCTGGAATTCCTTGCAAGAGGGGAAAACAGGGACATACAAACGATTAACGAATGGGAACAGTTATGCCACTATCTGTATTTCTGGGAAAAAACAGGCTCAGTTCAGGTACTGGAAACTAAGAATCTCTGATCTGTATTAATTCAGATCTAGATTTGTCTCTTCCTGTTCGCCTGTTGTATGAGGGTGTGTCAAGGAATAGTCTCTTTCCCATGAATCGCCACCGCACCTGGGGAAGCTCAGTGAATTCAAGTTAAAAGAGAAAAAAGCAGATCTCCCAAGCAAGAATCTGCCCACCCCTAATTTCTTCCTCTTTTTATAGTATCCCCATCCCTGTGCCTGAAGCAACCAATAAATAGAAGCAAAAATCAGGTTCCAGGCCTGTAAAGATCGTCTCCCGTTTCACCTGTCCTTCTCTGGGGTCAAACATGCCTTTCATAGCAAAGTTTGCTCTGTCCTTCACTACATCTGCATCTTAGGGGATGGTGCGATGATGAAGGTGCCTTTGCACCAGGCTCATTTCTCCGATTAACATCAGTCCTCAGGGCTTTATTTTCTGTGCTTAAAAGCATGCTGGTACCCATATGATGCCTGGATATTTTCCTTTTGCAGGGCAAAGGGCTGTGTACGTGCTAATTCGGAGCAAGAAGAAAGGATGCCCCGGATGGAAAAGATGCCACCCTTTCCCCCGGCACCCTGGATTTGATCTGGTTTGAGACCCACAATTAACCCTGCACAACCATTTTTAAAATCTGGGGTTTTATTCTCGAATCTCCTTTACACAGAGGTTTGTCTGGAGGGGCAGTGTGGCAGGAAGGTTAAAACGAAGGACTGGGACCTGGAAGACCTCAGTTCTAAGCCCCGCTTGCTCAGGAAGTTCGCTGGGTGATGTTGGGCCAGACACAGACTCTCGACCTGGCGTTCCTCACAGGGTTGTTGTGAGGATGAAATAGGAGGATTTTGTAAACCAGCTCCTTGTGAGTGGGGGGCGGGGAGGAATGGGGTGTAAATGTAATTAAAAGGGGGAGGGATTTTTCTGTGTAGGATTGGAGGGAAAGAACAGCTCATGCATTCTATCCTAACATTTTCTGCCTTCCACAGTCGTGTCCTAATCAGCTTTCAGCTTCGGAGCCCTACTCAAATCCAGAGAGCTGATGGCTCTCGCCTCCCTCCCAGAAAAACCCAGCCTGTGAAGAATGGGTGTGTTTCTGACAGCGTTGTCCTTTGCTGTGAGCATTTGGTGAGATGCACGCCAGCTGAAGTCTCCAAGGTCTGGAATATTTTAAAAATTATGATATTCGCACCATCTAATTCTATAGGGCAGTGATGGTGAGCCTTTTAGAGACCGAGTGCCCAAACTGCGACCCAAATCCCACTGATTTATCACAAAGTGCCAACACTGCAACAAAACCTGCAAACTGAGGTTTTAGTTGAGAAAAAACAACTCACAGCCAGTGCAAGTGCATATCCTTGGCAGTTCACTGACCGGCCATGCAAAAGCTCAGACGAGTCGCGGCTAATGAGTCACAACTCGTGACATCATCGCCTGGTGCCACTACTCCTGTCCGAGCATGCGCATGGCCCCTGTGTGCGCTGCCATCCGATGCTCGGCTGCTGGGGCGATGCTGGGGCGACTGGGCCCGCGTGCCGACGGAGAGGGCTCTGCGTGCCCAGTGTGGCACACGAGCCGCAGGTTCGCCACCACTGCTATAGAGCATTGACTATTGCTTCTTGTAGCTTGTTTCTTTCTCCGAACGTACCATAAATGATTCCTGGCTTGTACGCTTTCCAGAAGTTGTCTGTTCCGTTCTTGTTAAAAGTGTAGCAACTCCCATAGACAGGATGATGGAAGTGCTCAGTATCACTGCAGTAAAAAGAGGAGGAGAGGGGGAAAAAGGAAGGGATGGAGGGAGAAATCAGAGCGAGTCAGAATCAAATATAAGCATTTCCTGGTTGTTTCCAATCCTCGTGTAGATTCTGACACCAATCTCAGCTTGCGGCCGTGACCCTGTGCGTTCCCCCACCGATTCCTCCATAGGTGTGCGCCTTCTCCTAACCTCACCCCCTTTCCCCCAAATATTTGATGTTTTTCTGGGCTTTCCATGCATCTTCCCTGTTCGAAGAGGCTGAAGTGCCTCTCCTAAGGATCGGAGGCTGGATGGAGTTCTTGGAACAAAAAAATCCAGAGATTCTTGTCCCTGCCCTTTGGTGTACAGCACTGAGTTCACGCATTGAATGTGGATCCTAAAGCCACCAAAATGTCACCATCCAGAAAGGAGGTATCAGCAACTTTGGGAAACCCAAAGGAATGGAGAACTACAAAGGCCTAAAAGCAGGTGAGGACATCAAACAGCAACTGGAGATGCTCTGTGACTCCACAATGCCGGTGAGTAGCATGGAAAACCAGAGGAATGGAATGGAGTGCTTGAAAATGGGCATGGCTGGCTGGCTGGCATCCCAAACAAGAGCACTCTGCCTGCAATTTTGGACGGATATAGGTCCTGGGTGCAAACTACCAGAAAAGGATCGGCTGTCCTGAACGCTCAAGATAGGACAAGACAGACTGGCAGACAGACAGACAAATAGCTGCTAAGCCCTCTTGTCTGATTGACAAACTGTCCATTGTGAACGCCATCAGACGGAGGAGAAGGCATCGATAGGCCTTGTAAGTCTGGAAGCAACAGAGAAATGTTCTCCCCCTGCTTTTGCACAACGCACGACTTCTACAGCATTTCTGTGGGTCTCTGTCTTGGACTGATGCAAGCTGCATTTTGAAAAGCCTCTCTCTTTCTTTACCAAGACGTGGGATAAAAATAGAAAACTTAAACAGGATTCAAGCCAAACCATGCCCAAATATTTCAAAAGCGCATGCACACATGACCCTGGTCCTATATTACATAGCACGGCCCAGCAAATTGTACTTGGAGTGATGTCATCCTGACTCAGCGGGAGAACAGATTAACAAACGAATGGTGAAACATCTCCAGAGACTGTACGGAACTTCCAGGAGCTGCGGAGTACTCAAAATTTGCCCTGATAACACTTGAGCAAATGTTTGCTCAGGTTTTCTATACGTTGGGCACACATTTTGATGACCCTTTGTGGTTAGTTCCTTTGTGGCTTATTTGGCAATGGTTGCAGGTAGAAGCTGGCATATCCTGCCATTACTGCCCTGAAAGAACAAGCGGTCCAGTTACACCGTGTATTATGCAAACGAGATAAGGCTGGTGGGAAGGATGGTGAGCTGTGCCACAATTGTGCCATGATTGAAGGTTATCCATTGCACAGAATCCAAGTGAAGGGTCGTTAGTTGGTTAGGACAAAGCAGCGGGATCTTTTGGTGCTAGAGATCTTGCAGGCAAAAGGTCTTGTGAATGTTTGCTGTACAGGCCAAGACCAATTCTGTTTGTTTAGATAAGCCATGACTTCTGTGGCTTCAGAGTTAAAGCAGGTGGAAGCCGTTGGTCCTCAAGGAGGGATGGAAAAATGCATCCTATTTATGATAATTCGGGTTCCCTGAATACCCTCCTGACACGCTGCTTCCCCTGTCAACTTGCAGTCTTTCTTCGGTTCGTTCCAGTAGGAAAGTATGGCTTTTGCAGAACAAGCAGCAGGTTAAAAAAAAATGGCAGCACCCCAAAATGGACACATTCCCCCTTAGAATAAATTGCGAAAAGGTCCACTTTCCAAAACATTCATTAAAAAAAAAAAACCCACAAGTTTGGACATTTGTAAGTATGTCCTGATGGCCAGCGAATTTGGGGTGTAAGTCACTTTCCCATGGGACAGGGCACCGATTCCTACCAATCCTGAGGGCTTTAAGATGCCTTCAGCACGCTGCACAGTGCATAGTTGAATTTGGATGGCATTCAAAGGGGGACGGACAATCCTGGAGCGGGAGGCTATCCAAGGCTACGAGTCCTCATGACCATCTCCTACCTCCAGGTTCAGATCCGTGGAGGAAATGGCTTTAGTGGCTATTAGCCCTGCTGGCCACATGCCACCTCCAGGATCGGGGCAGTCTACCTATGTACACCACTTGCTGGGGAGCATGGGTGAGAGGGTGCTGCCACACTCCTATCATGCTGCTGGGCTGCTGTGGGAGCAGTATCCTGAGTGGATGGACCCGGGGAGAGTGACTGATTTGGAAAATTCCTTGGCCGCCGTTCAGGGCAGCAAACAGCAAGAAAAGGAGAAGACGGCAGCCAGAGGTGGACACCCTAAGGCAGGGGGTGGAAGGAATGCCTGCATGCGCTCGGAGCTGCCCGCCACATGCCCTGTGACGCAAGCACCAGGTTGGGGCTTCACCTGTAGGATCAGGCTGGCTGAGTTCCCAGCGGCTCTCGCGCCCTCCCAGCTCACCTGCAGTTTGCCCTGCAGAACTGCTCCCAGCCAAGCGTCTAAGCTTATCTAATCAGGTGCGCTCCGGCTTTAGGGTTTATCTGATTGTTCTCGGCACACGGCCGCCATCAGAGGCAAACTGGCCAGAGCTGGGTGGCACCGAAATTGGCTTCAGTTGCTCTTTACCCTAAGGGCTGCCGAGCCAGGTGGAATCTGGGCAACCCGAAGGAAATTCCCCATCTGCATCCCCAAATTATCCCAGTGGGAGACAAGGGCCAACACCCTGAGACCGAGACTGAAATGGGCGGGATGCACGGAGAGGCCAGCTTTCAAAGGAGCGACTGAAGATGTTCCAGCAAGGGGGTTTTAAAGTGGTCCATTTAAGTGCATGCCACTGGATTACCTGGCCCTTGTTTCCCGGACGCTAGGATATCTCTCGTGGCATTTTTAATTTCTGGCGGTGTTTTTTCATTTCCAAGGGAAATGTCCGACAGGCCTCTGTGCCTCCGTCGATTTGGTCATTCAGGAGGGAATTCAGAATTTAGAATGTCAGAAAAAAGTAAAAAAATGAAACCAACAGAAAGGATCCTTTCCGGGTCAGAACAGCCAGTTCTCTTAACATGCTGTGTTGGGGAATTGAGCATTTCGCCCTTAAGTGCCAAATCCCCTGTTCACCACCAGTGGTCAGGCAGTGTTGGATAGTCCCCCAAATCCCCTCCCTTCCGTTCGTGATGTGCACAGACATGTAGAGAAGCGATTACGTGATGCACACACGTAATTACATCACAGTCATTTTCTGACGGTGATTTTTGTTGCAAGACAACCCTTAAAATAACTGAAATGGAATGATTTTGTTTGTGTGGGTGGGCAGGCAAGTGTGGGTGCTTCAGGCCAAAGAAAGAGAATGAAACAACTTCTGGTTGCTCAAATCCACTGCTCATGATCATGAGATCTAGAAACTTGGCTGGTTTGGTTTAAGAGTGATAGCTGATTGCTGACGATGTGATCTGAATAGGGGGACTAGAGAATGTCAATCCACAGAGGGATCCATCCACTCATTTTACTAGCATGCAGGCAGGCACAGTGAGTGGACAAGCTGGTTACCTGGGTCGGCAGGGCTCTCCGTCATACTGGCAAGAGTAGACCAAGTCACTGATGTGGTCCTTCTCGAGGGAAACGTCGATGATGGGCGGGATTTGGGACATGATGTTCATGTAGTGGAAACGGTACCATTCCCGGACGGCATCCACTCCAGAGGAATACACTTTGTTGAAACACGCCCCTCCCGTTGCATTGCACTGAAGGAGGCAGAGGATCAGGGGTTGGAAAAATGGTTTGCATCTCAAGGAATGATAATAGAAGGTCTTATCAGGCTGCACCAAAAAGCACAAGAAGATAAACCCTTGCCAAGGTATAAATAGTGCTCTGAAGACCATTTGGGGACCCCCCCCCCCCCGTCTCTCCCCCCACCAGAACAGTGGAGGAAAGCTTTGGTCCCGGCTTCACCAGCTAACACTCCAGTCCTTTACCCATTCAATTCAAGTTCCTTTGAATTAAACGGGCACCCTTCTGAGCAGACTTGTGCAGTGGTACCTCGGCTCACGAACTTAATCCGTTCCACGACTCTGGTCCCGACCCAAATTGGTCGTGAGCCAAGTCAAATTTCCCCATCAGTTTCCATGTAAATAAGGTTAATCCGTTCTGTAACCATTTTTTCATCACAAAAATTTGACAGAAAGTGACAAAGAACAACGAAGATCACGGCCATCTCCCCTCCGCCCCGAGCACAACCGCAATCGCACCCGTCTTCCCGGCATGAGCGTGATCATGATCTTCACCCGATGCGGCGTTCGTGACCTAAGGCAATTTTTTTCTGAAATGTCTGTTCGCAACCCGATTTTGGAGCTGGGGGTCAGACTAGATGGCCCGGGAGACCCCTTCTGACTCACTCTGTTTCTATGTTTGTGAGCCAAGGTATCATTGTATAGGATTACACTGCAACATTAGACCGTTTGGAATCCAGAGAGAAATCTGGAAGCCAGTGTCATAGGATTCCCAAGCAACAAATTTGCAAGTGCTTTGAGGATTTCTTGTAAGTCCTATGGAATTTCTCTTCCTTTGACTTTCAGGACAATCAACAAGCTTGGTTCTTTGGATTTTCAGGTATTTTAGATTGTTGCTGCCTAGGGGCAGCGTACGGTCTGGTTTGTCCTCTATGTGATAGTCACAATATTCTGCGCGAGCAAAAAGCCCCACATCACTCTAGTACTAAATTCATGAGTCTTTCATCAAAAGCTGTGGGTGTTTTGCTCCAAGCAGCTTTATAATGCTGGTATTGCAAATACCTCCAGACCTGCTTTTGCATGCAAAATGTGCTGAGGAGCACGGCAAAAAGAGATTAAAACCCCGCAAAATAGATTCACCCATCCCTGCAACAAACACATGAGAATTTTGCATTTACAGTGCGATCCTTCGCATGTTTGTATATCCCCTGGGACTTGTGGGCCTTTTTTGCTGTGCGAACATGACAAGGCATTGTGCATTTCATTAATATCTATTGTGCTGTTCCACTGAAACCCCAGGCAAAGATGTCCTCAGTTCCTGGGTTGCTCTTAATTGCCATTGCTTAATGGTAGTTCATTTCTTGCAACTGCAAGGAAGCTGAGGAACTGAGGCTGCCGAAGGAGAGCAAGAATTAAAGAGGAGAGGATGTCACATGACGGACTGAGTCATGGGTGGAAAACTGCTGAGTCGTGTGGTTTAAAAAGGAAACAAAGAGGAGATCGGTGCCTCGCTGCTGGAATGAAACTGCAAACGGCAAAGAGGGGGAAGAGGATCTCTGAAGCAACCTCTCCAAACCAGATGCCCGCCTGGTGTGCTTGGTTACAGTGCCCATCATCCCCAGCCAGCATGCTGGGAATTGTACTCTAATGCATCTGATGGGGCACCCGATTGGGAGAGGCTATTTCAGAAGCACAGGCTTGGATCCTGAAAGTGCGATCCTATGGATTCTAGGTGGTCCCCTCAGTCTCCTGGTGGCTAAGATGCGAAGCGCTCCTTTTAAGCTCATTTGGAGCGCACCTGCTCGGAGCTCAGCTGCGAAATGTCTCCGGAGGTCAGACTAGATGGCTCGGGAGACCCCTCTGACTCACTCTGTTTCTATGTTTCTAAGATGTGCCTGGATTCATCACAAAGGGCCACTAAAAATGGCCATGAGAAGCCTGGTTCTTCTTACCAGCCGGAAGCCGACTTTCCCTCCCATCCTCACGAGGGCGATGCTTCGATCCAGGTGGAACTTGGAGCTGTTGTCCTGGCTGGGCCCTCGGTTCGAATTCTCCTCCAGGCTGACGCTGGCGTCATCTTCCAAAGCCGACTGTGGAACGTTGAAGCCGTACAAAAGATACACTGTTTCCCTGGCCAGCTTATCCAGCTTGGCCATGTCTTTACTGACTTGATGGATTCTGTGGAAAGGAGAGAAACGGCAGTTTGGGATACCGGAGTGAAGCGAAGTCCCTAGCAAAAGGAACTCTACCGAACGCCACCCAATAGTCAGTTCTCGAATCCTTCAGCAACAAGCCCTGGGCATCTTACCTAAAAGGCCTCAGAGGGGAACCAACGTGCAGAACCGAGAGATGCATCTCGACTCCCTGAACTCCCGGTCGGTATCCCTCTCTTCAGCCCTGTTTATTCGTAGATCGTAGGATAAGTCTGAAATCCCCACACCTGTTCCGGATTCTCTGTCCTTCCTGCCCGCACAGAGCCATGCTTGCACTCTATGTAATGTGTTGGTATCCCATTCACGACTTTGTCCCTGATTGGCTGGGCTGCCCTTGTGACTTGTTCAAGGAAGGGTGGAGCTCATAATCAGCTGGATTTGTTTATTATCTTCAGGGGGGTGTCAGCACATAAAAAGACCTGTCTGGCTATCAGGTCTATGACATCGCCCTGACTGCTGTGGTCCCTGATTGGCTGGGATTAGCAATATAGCTAATCGGAGGAAGAGGAGGAGGAGGAGATGACATTATTACAAGGAATATAATGGTGGCAGGAGGGGAAAACAGTGTTTAATAACAGGGTGTAATAACTAGAAAAGGGTGACCATATTCACAAAGACAGCTACCGAATCACCTGCATGCACCATGGCTCTCCACCCCATTCTCAGCTGAGTTCCTGACCCAGTTTAGTCCCTCCCATCACCCAGGTGGGTTCTTCATATTCCATGCCTCCCATACTTTCCAAATCCCCAAGTTTCCAAAGGAAGCTCCGGAATAAAACCCCCTACCTGTAGGGGTTCAGGTTGCAGATGGTGACGGCGGGAAACATCTTCGGCTCTGAGTGAACGGACATGGCCATGACGACCGGGTAGGCCCAGTACTGGTTGAACAGGAGTGCAAACTGCCAGTACAACATGGCGAAGCTGGCGAGGAAGAGGAGCGCCCAGAACACTGTCTTCATCTTGTTGCGGCTGGAGCACACCAGGCGGATGGTTCCATGGATGGTGGTGTTCAGGCAGAAGAACTCAAAGAGGTCCTTGAAGCCGCTGTAGAACTCAATGAGAGCAATGTCTTCCTCTCTGGTTTCTGATTCCTTCTCTTTTGCCGCGTCCTCCTCCATTTTCTAAACCTGCAATGAGTTTGGGATTCTGCGTTAGGGTGGACGAGGAGCCCCGCGACCAAGCCTTGCAGGGTGTCTCAACTGCTAAACAGGGCTTGCCCTCTGATCTTCCAGCCAGTCTGTCACCCAGGCCTCCCTTCGGGAAGTTCCATTCCATACTGGGCCATCTTGGCACAATCTGTGCTCATTCACAACGTCTTTGGCCATGGCATGGTCCTCCAGGCTGCAAGGCAGACTAGACTGAAATGGAAGACGTTCCCAGAGCAGATCCTGGTAAGGGAAAGGGTCCTTCTGGGTGATAAAGGAGAGCAAACCTTGAGATCTTGCAAGCGGAGGCCTTAGTGAACCGCCTGTACCAGCTTTGTAATGTGTTGCTCTTGGCTTTTTATGCATCGCTTGAGGAGCACCTCTCCTACCCCCAGTCCTATATAGAGACACGGGTCCAATCGCATCGCCCAAAGGAATGGCTGGCTGGCAGCATCTGCTTCACAAGGCATTGCTTCCTCGCTTCCCAAATTCCAGCAGGAACATCTGAATCATGATGCCGTCCAAAGAGTTTGGGAAACTTAAAAGGGGGCTGCAGCTGCTGCCCTCAGGTTGCAACGAGCGGCCAGTCAGCCAGTTGGACCCAAATGCCAGCACCGACCCACTGCTCCAGGGACCCTGGACACCTGCAGCTGCCCAAAGATGCCCCAGCCCTGGGCGGGACCAATCCAAACCTGCGGCTAGTATGCGGCTCCAGGTGGCTGCTATGAAAATGGTTGGATTTAGCCACCAGGCACGGGGCATGGATTTCAGTAAAGGAAGGTGGGTTTCCGTGCATCTTTCTCTTGAGGAACACCGATGCATTACAGAGGATAGGCAGAAAATACACCCGTCTCAGAGAAAGGTAACCGGCACAGTGCCACCAACTGCAAGTTCCAAGCCAGGCCTGCAGTCTTAGAAGGTGCTGCCCTCTGGTGGCTGCATCCGAGCAGTGCTGAACGCTTCTTGATTCGTGTGTTAGAGGGAAGCCACAGGTAAAGCCTTGGAGAGTCTTTATTCATAGAATCATAGAGTAGTGGAGCTGGAGGGGGCCATGAAGGCCATCCGGTCCAGCCCCCTGTTGCTGCAGGACGCCAAGTCACACCATCCCACTCAGAGGGCTGTCCAGGTTCTTATTCATTCCAGCTTTTACCATGAGTTCTCTCAGAGCCGTCCACGACGGCAGACCTGTTTTGAGGATCTACTTCAGCCCTGTGGATAGCTTCTAGACAGCTCAAAATAAAAGCAGCAGCAGATGAGGCGCCCCGGTGAGGGGTTCCCAGCCTCCCCTAGTAAGCAGTGGACTCTCTCCTGTCTGTTGGAGAGGACAGAGAGAGAGACTTTCACCGCCATGGGAGACTTTGGGCCAGCCACGGACCCTCGGCTCAGTCTACCTCCTCCCAGAGATTCTGTAGCTTTGTTCTCTGTGGATCCACTCCATATATATATATATATATATATATATATATATATATATATATATATATATATAATCCACTCGGCAGCCCCTTCATCTCTCACGTTCTGAGAAGCTACGATCTCCCTCCAAAGGTGGAAACAGGAACAAAATCATGACAGGAAAGAGTCCCGATAAAGGCAGACCGTTGGCGGAGATGAGTTCCGTCAAGGATTGCAAATCTGCACATGTTCTGGAGCGTGCTTTTCTTGCTACATCATCTCTTGCAGGGCAATAGGATATCGGAGGTTGAATCGGTTTTGCGACACAGAGCGCCGATGGCTGCAGTGAATCAGCAGCTGCCTACCCTGCCGTGACTAAAAAATATAAGCATATCCACCAAAGCCTGAGTGGGCAGGTCATCTCAGGTGACAACACGCTCCGGGGCTTTGTCCAATGAAGACATCTGTGTAACTCTGAAGCTTGCATCACTGGGTGAGCTCACATCTCTTAGTCTCTGCATTTGAGTTTGGAGTTCAGAAATCTGCTCTGATTGAGCTAAAGCCAGGTCAGTGAGAGGTCGAAAGTAGATTCTTGAATTCTTGGGAAAGTGATGCGGAATGATTGGCTGGACCCAATGATTGGTTGGGAAAGGGGCTGTGACCCCCTGGGGAATTTGGCCCTGAGATGGAGGTTCTTTGGGCCCTGTTTTTATTTCTGTGCACCCTGAGAGTTCCTCATCCCCCTGGACCGACGGCCCAGGATGTGACCCTCTGAGCGGATGCTGCATCTTGATTCGAGCGGGTGCCCATGTCCCGGTGCCAGTTTCATTGGGGAGGGGGGGAGTCTTTGGGCAGGATGCTGGGGAACCCCACCCGGTGTGGAGGGAGGCTTCTTTCTGCTATTGCCTCCGTCCTCCCCCTTGGGGCCCGATCCTCACCACTGCCCTGGAGGAGAATTCACGGCCAGTGACATTTTCCTGCCCCTTTTCTGAGTACCTCCTGCTCTCCCAACAAACAAAAGCATCAACAAGGAAGAGCAACTCCAGTTCTTTTATTTTTCTTGCTGGGAAACAGGGTATAAAGCAGAGGTGAGCATTCTGGAAACTCCAGCTGGCTTATAGTATTCTCCTGCTGCTGCTCTCAGGCTTATTCTCACAACAACCCTGTGAGGTAGGTTGGGCTGAGAGTCTTGTCTTCTCAGCAGATCCTGGTGGCCAGGTAAGTTGGGACAGGTGCGCCCCTTTAGGTGCTTTCTGATACAGGTGCATGTGATGCCTGAATACCTCCAAAAATGGTGTGTGTGGTCAAAATTCCAGCGGGGACTAGAAGCCCAGGAATGACCCGTATAGAATTTAGTGTGCAAATATATGCATTACGCCCACGTTGTTAAAATACGGACATGTGTATCCTCTCATAAACATGTTTTCTAAGAAGCCGCTCCCCGCCAATTCAATTGGAACTTGCTCATTTGCAAACACGCTGAGCATCGGAGCCCTTAGCCGTTTGTATAATTTCACTCCTCTGGGCCTTTTCGTGGGATCATCTGCACAGATAAAGAGAAAGACTCAGAGGAGTGAATGAGTAAGAAAGGAAAGAGAACCTGCTCATGCTGCAAAGAAAACCATGAAATGAGCCACATTGTGAGCAAGTGGCTAGTCCTCATGAAGTCACGCGCTGATGCAAAAGGAAATATTTTGTCACATATGATTGTGATTATATATGTGTAAAAAGCAGAACGGAGTGACAGAGAGGAGAAAGACAGAAAAATCATGTGGTTAGAATCTTCTGCATATTTATCTGGGACTAAGTCCCATTAAATTAATTTCTGAGCAAAAATGCATAGGATATTCTACAGAAATTAGAAACTTGACACTCTCTTTGCAAACCCCAGTTACTTCTCCTGCCTCCCCAAACTGAAATGATTGATTGATTGATCGATCAACTGATCATCATAAATTGGGACTGCACACCCCACCTGTCTGCCTTTGTCCACATGAATAAAATGAAGAGAGAACAATCATATTAGCATAATTAGCCTCTTTCTCTTGCACTGACTGTGTCCAAACTGTCCTGCATGTCTTATATGAGACATCAAAGGACCATACCATATGCCCTGCATTGTGGGGGGGGGGGCTGAAGTGGAGCAAATAGCCCTGCCATCAACCCAGCAGTGGGGGACACTATTAATTGGGGAGGGGAAACAGAGGCAGAAGGTCGCAAGTTCGGTCCCAGGCCTCTGCATTTCTAAGGACATCATTCTGCCTATTCTGGCTTGGATGCTCTCAGGCCTGGAGGTGTCTGCTGTTCCCCTCTCCAGTCCTCCAGGACTGAATTTACACTCAGGCACTTTGGAGAGGGAAGGAAGGCGCACCGACCGCCAACAGAGAGTTTGTATTCCAGCAGCTGCACCTTCTTCACTTCCCCATCTGCCGGGATGCTTGGTTTGCTTCCCTTCTGGGCTCACTCTCCCAGTATCTCCCTGTCTCCCCTGCAAGGAGTTGGGGCTGGAGCATGGATCCCCAGCCGATGCACCGTCTCCTCCCGGGGACCTGGGAATCGGCAATATCCCATGGCCCCCTAGAATCGAGGGAGCCATGGGATTGCTCTCGAAAGGGATCTGGTGTCAAGCAAAGACTGGGAAGCCACTGCCAAGTTGAAACAGACAAAGGTGCTAGCAGGGGGAAAGTCTGAGTTGCTGGGAAGTAGCTTCCCTAATCCTCAACATTACTCAGCTTCTGTGCTACAAGATCTTCATATCAGGCTTTTAATTCCTCTGTCTGTCTAACTCAAGCCAAAGTTTGCCCAGAATCCTATATCTGTGGCCAATGCACCAATCTCTGTGGCAGCCAGGCAGAGGTGGATCAGTCCCTCCCTTCTCAGAACTTCTGAGGTTCAGCATTCAAAACTAAAGATTTAAAAGACTTTCTTTCCAGTTTGCACATCTTCTAACTTGGCCCAAGGCCAAAGAAGAGTGTATTATTTGGGGGAAATGTTGGCACATTTCTGAACTTGTGATTACCTTTGAAACGTGTGTCCTTTTTGGAAAGACATGCACTTTGAAAAGTCTGCATCCTGATGATTCAGTCTATAAGGGAAAGTGTGTGCTTTTGGGAAAAAATGCAAATTTTTCCTTCTGGGGTGAACTGAAAAAAACAGGTTGCAAATGAAAATGGGAGTGAGCCCAGCTGAGCTGGGAAGTTCCTGGTTCTCCATCTCTTGGTGTTTTCCACTGGGGAAATGCATTCAGACCTTTCCCACTTCTCCATTCAAAGGATCCCAGGGAGCAGATCTGGGGAGGAAAAATGTCTCTCCATCTGAGATATCAGACCGGCAGGACTCTAGCTACCTGGCAGAACCAGCAAGGTGGGTTGCTGATTCTGACTAGGACAGGTAAAGGTACATTGCCATATAAAAGCATTGCTTCCAGAGTCTAAAATTATTTAACTGCCCCCCCCACTCCCCCAGCTAGAGTCACCAGCATTTGGCACATTCCCCAGAGATCTGATCTGGTATAAAATGTGTTTTTAAACATCTGGACCCCAGCCAGGCTGAGGCTGAGCAGGGGTGCATTGTGGTTT